ATAATAGCACGACTACTGAAATCACCGAGGGAAAAAATGCTCCAGAATGTCAAAGGAACATAAAGGAAAAAGAAAAAATGACATTGTTAGGTATAGGTATTTTTTAAAAAGTTATGACTCTGCTATGGCAAACCTTAAAAAATATAAATCTGTAAAATCATTCCTATGCATATGCATGAGTTATAGGTTTATAATAAATGGTAAAAGCATACTGAGAACATGTTTTAAAACAAGGGAGTCTCTTTGAACAGCCAAATTAAATTATAGCTTGAACTCTTGAGTGTACTGAGGGTTCTAATAAGCAACAAATAAAGACTTTTATTGGCTAGCAATATAATGAGAGCTACTGTGCAAGAGATGAAAAAAAGACAAATCTGGCTAGTTTATCTCACTGGATTATATTATTTACTTAAATGGCAAATAAGTTTGTCCAAAGTAACGCTACTGAAAACTGGTATATAAATATTAGGGAGCAATTCTGATCAATGCCTCTTTAATGTAAATATATAACCAATTTTAGTGGGAAGGCTGAAACAATTGTGAAATTAAACAACAAATACTGAATTTATACCACTTGAGTTCTATTTCTTCAAATTTAACATATATATTGACTCCTAATATATCAGCATTATAAATGGTTTACTATTTATGCTTATCACATGAGGTAATTATTTCAAAGGAGTGTTCTCTCCAGAATATGGCAATTATGTGTAGAACTACTTCAAAACCATTATATACGGAAAGGAGGCTGTCCTTAGTGAACTGAAAGAAGGTATCCCCTCCTCAGTGACCTGGTAGGAAGTTACTTTTAATAGAATTTGGAAGGTTGGGCTCTTAACAAGAGAACTCCTTCAGTTAACAAAATGACAAATTTAACAAACCAAAATCAGATTTAAAATGTATTTGGTTGCATTTTGCTTGATCTTCAAGTTGCTTAAAAAGTAGAACCTTACAAATCTTAGCTGACTACTTGACTGTTCTTACAGAAAGTTCTGTTGCTTCTGTCTGAGCTTAAAAAAAACACACCTACAATAGCCTCTCCAAGCCTAAACACTAAGCCAGTATTCTTTATGTACTTTTTCTACAACATTCTGATTGCCAGAGTGATTTTTTTTAATCTTAGGTATATCTAATAAAATCACGAGGCTCCCTCTAGCTCTTTAGAGAGGAGTTTACTAACCAATGGCCCTATGTAATTTCCATCCAACAGGAAAGGTTTGAGAAGGCTGCTTCCCCTTCTACAAGAAATGTTTTCAACTGTTTCTTGTAAGGTTGTAGATGGTAAATGAGGCCATCTGCAGAGGAATTCAGAAAACACTGCTCTTTATATCCACATCAAATTAAGAATCTATTAATTGCCTCCAACCTAAGCTTTATATACAAAATTCTATAATAAAACTTTAACCTGTTTAAACTACATCTACATTCCCAACTTAGATTTATCCATCTTTCTAGAATTAATTTTAGTCTCTAAAAACAAGTAACAGTATACATTAGTATCTATAGGAATTCAAACTTGTGATCTGGTTTCAGTTCTAAAAATCTACGTTTAAATGGAAAATCTTAAATTTTTTAAAAGTGCTACTAACAGTGCATCTGTTGGGGTTATGGAAAAATAGATGCTCATGCTAATTTGTAGAAAACATTTTCATGTACCACATTTATACACAACACTGGTAATGACTTTTTTATTATTTAATCTTTTTTTATTCAGTATTGGGTATTTTGGGATTGAAGTTACTTAGAAAACTATAAATAACATAGTTGAAGTGTGCCATTGATATTTAGTCTATCTTACAACAGCCATAAAAGCCATACAGTCAACTGGCAAATCATTCCAAACAAGTGAATATGAAAAATGCTAAATCAAACTCCTCATATTCACTAGGACCATCTTTTAAATACGTAAGGAATATTTAAAATGGTGTGGAACCTTAACGCTAAAATTAAAAATAAAGGGAAGCACTAACTTCAAGTCATCACCTACTTTGGACTCCCTTAATATAAGGAATATTCACAGGAACAACAACAAAAAGAATAGCTCCCTCCACCCCCCACCCCCACCCCTTCTGAGCCAGTGTCCAATTTCTTCTTTTCTGAACAGCTGTATTATCCAACTTAAGTTGCTCTGCTAATTTCAGTCCCACAAGGACTAACTTGGAAGGCAAAAAAATACAAGAAAAGATCAATTTGCTGGGAAAGATCAAATGAGAAAACTGTGGGGACAGCACCAGGTCAGCGTGTGGAGAACTAAGCAGACCTGTTCTTCATTAACTGCTGCTCTCTGGGGATGTCACACACTACCTGTCCATGGGCTTTTATTGAACCGCCTAACCCGCCTCTCTGTTCCATTCTTCTGGGCCCAAGTGAATCATATCCTGCTGCTGACAAGTTAGCAGGGGACTGCGGCTGCAACATGAAAGTACTTTTCTTTCTTGTCTAAATCAGGCAGATTTTTGAAAAGACGACACAGCATTGACTCGTGACATGGCAAGATGAAACGAGAGGTCTGGGCTGGTCTTGGAGCTGTGCAGATAAAAGTAATCAAATGACACTCCTGGAATGCAAATTGGCATTCTTGACTGCAGCAATTGCACAACCATGAAACATCCCTGACAGCAAGCAAGATTAGGACAAAATGTTATGTAAAGCACTGAACTCAAAAACTCTCACTTGAAAATTCAAACTGTAACACTTACATTTTAATACAGCAATAGTCAGCTCTGCTTTTGTCTGCTTCTTTCTGTAATCACATATCCCTGCCTGACAGATATCTTACATTTCAGGTAGAAGGAAAAAGAAAAAAAATAAGATATTAGGAATGTACAATTACTATTAATATTTTCTTTATATTTATTCTTTAAAATCACGAGGTTGCTTTTTTTTTCAATTTTACAAGCAAACAACTCCAAACTCAATATTCTCAAGGGGAAAGGAGACGCTTTCAAACTTTTCTCACAAGATTCTCAGAGTTCACATTCAGGCTCTGTATTTCTTCCCTCAGGTGAAGATACTCCAGCACTTTGGTAAAGTGATTAGCAATCTGGATTTTAAATACTCTGCTCTCCGGGAATAGAAGAGTAGCTACAACTGAGAACTTCATTAAGGCTGAACAGTTTAAATGAAACAGCTACAAATATAACATAAAACACAGATACCCTATAAAGGTTCATAAGGGATTTTGAGGGTGATTCCAAAGGGTAAAGGAAGTTCTATTAGCTTTTCTCGCTCCTCTTCAGTGTGTCCTCAGATCATACATACTAAGTAAGAGTGCGAGAAATAAAGTCTCCCACTTAAAGCAAAAATGTGTGTGCACAGTCACACCTGAAACTGCAAAACACAAAGCAGTAGATGACAAATAGGCTTAGTCACTGTTCCAAGCGATCAGTATTTGGGAAGAGATGTGCAGACAAATAGTATATGGGCAAAGGGCAAGGAGAAGAAAAATAATACCTACAGCCAGCTTTTACAGTTTTCTTCTATAAAATGCCGCTAGAAGAAAAACTCTCAAGTGCTAAACAGATATATTTAATATTTTGTTTTGACGCCTCCACTTAAACACAAGTTCCAACCATTGCAACTGTCCATGAAGTACATAAAAAATAATGAAACAGGCCACTTTCTGCCACTTTAATCCTGGGTACACAGGATTATTTTATGATGTCTTTTGTACATCAGTTTTACAATAGCTTGACTCTAGGGTAAATGGGAAGCACCATAAATTGCATGCTGCTTTCAAAACCACTTTAATTTGTCAGCGTTACTGTAACCACAGTCTTGGGCACACGCTATTTTGTGTGTGTGTGCGCCTACATTTGACAGTCGCATCTCCTACACTCCAGTCGTGACTTTGATCACTGAAACAAGAGATGTCACATTAGGGGGAAGGGAAGAAAGGAAAAAAACTGCCAACTCGCTACCTGCCCTTTTCTTACATATTTCATTTCCATGTGGAAAACAATATGTGAGATCCCCAAGTGGGGGTAACAGCAGCAGCACTGGATGGAAGCAAACTAAAAGGACGGGTGTGGTCTAGCCCCATTTCTAAGAAATCACTTCCCCGAAAGCGGACAGAGCGCCGGTCCGCGGGCGAACTATCCGCGCGCCGCCTCGGCGCCGACAGCCGCTTCCAGTGCAGCAAGGCTGTGCTGGCATCTTGCTCTGCAGCTTCTCCGCCACCACCAGCACTTGGAACTTTTTTGTTTCAATCTCAACCTCACTTCATAGGGGATTTCATCCAGGGATTTTGCTTTTTTGTTTATTTTTTTAATGATTCTGCCCCCTTCCCGGGCCCCAAATGCCATCCTGTAGTCCACGTGTAAGTAAAACAAGTAGGCTCCTCCAGAACTGAGCCTCACAATCTCTCTCTGGAGTTTATTTTCCTGCCTGCGTTTTGCAAATTCTTCATAAAGCCTCCAGGAGCACTTCCTACAATTTCTTCATTTACAAAGGAAGGCTTCCCGGACAGGAGGGAGAGGGGAGGGCAAAGCCAAGGTGCCGAGGACGCGGCGGCCGTGTACTCCTTCACCGCGCGGTGCACCAGCGCGCCCCGGCGCCCACGCCCAGCCGCCCGTCCCACACTAGCGGGCAAGTTTTAAAAGTTCCCGTTCTCCAAAATGCTTTCCTCTCCGCCCCAAGCTCCTTCCAGGGCTCCGTTCATTCCCCCACCTTCTCCCCAGCCCATCCCCAACTCCCTGGAGCCTGCCGCTCACCTTTCCCCGCCAGCCGCGAGAGGGGGCGACGTTCACGAGCGCCCCTCACACACACCCTCCCACCTGGAACTCTCTTCAGAAACTTGGGCCAAGTTTTTTTGGGGGGGAGATATCAAGGGCACAGCAGGGGCCAGGTTGGACAGGGGTTCTCCTCCCCTGCCCGCCCTCCTCACCGCCCCCCTCCACCTCACGCCGCAGGACTTGAGAAAAACACGGCTCCCGGCGGCCCCGCGGCTCATTTCTTACGAAGTCTAGAATAGAAAGGAAAGGAGGGTGGAAACTTCTTACCATCTCGGCATGCTGGTTGTCAAGTGCAGCCCCCGCCTCTTGGTCTCCTCTTAGCGGCCGTGCCTGGACCAGCCCCTCGGCCGCCTCTCGCTCCTTCAGTCTCGGCCTTTCTTTCCCTCCCCCTCCCGGTTTCCTCCCGGCCGCCGCTCGAGCCGCCTCCGCCTCTCCCCGCCCGCCCGCCCGCGCGCGCCCTCGCCGCGGCCCCTCTGCGCTCAGGTGACTGATTTACACACGCGCCCCGGGTCGCCCTCGTTCCCCAAGTCGAAGCCTGCAGCGTTCCCCTGGTTCTACAGGGAAGGAAAAAAAAAAAAAAAAGGAACGGACTATCCCCGGTGGGGGCTGCTGCGGGGGGGGGGCGGGGGGGGGGCGCGGCGGGCGAGGTGACCTAGGGCGGATATGTAAACCCCACAAGATTCTCTCAGCAAAACTGTCGTGATTACAATGTTGCTTCCCTTTCGCAAAATAAAAGTCGGGTTTTGCTGTTGTTTGTCCTCCGATTTCTAGGGGTTTCGTGAAGGAGGATGTACATTTCTCCCTCGCTCACCTCCCGCCCTGTTATTCCCTCCTCCCCCGCTCTTTCTGGGGATGGAAAACAACTTTGGCGCCCCCCGGGGTGTGCGGGCGTGGACAAGGAGGTGGCCGCTAGCGCCCAGCTGTCAAAAAAGAGAGAGAAGAGAGGCGGGGATGGTACGCTGCAAACGCCGAGGAAAGGGCGCGAACTTTATTCCGACTGCAGCAAACCGCGGCGTCGCTTTCCTTTTCGGGCAATCGCCCGTCTCCGTCCCCTTTGACCAGTTCCTCCTCTCGAACTACCGTGGCCGCCCCCTCCTCTTTTGCCCTTCCCTTTTTCCTCTACTGTGCCCGCTTCAGCGGCCCGCGCACCCCTCGCTTCTGCTTCTGTCAGCCCGAGTTCCCCGCGCTGGGGAGAATGCGAGGGAAGCCAAGGAAATCCCAGGGGACAGAAACTCGGGACGAGACCGTGCTGCAAGAAAAGGCAAAAAGTTGCGCGCAGCTGGGAGAAAAAAGTTTTTGGTGGCGGCGTGTTTTGTGCCGGCCAAGAGACAGGCTTGCGGCAAAAGCTTCCTTCCCCTTCCCTTGGCCGGGGCCGCGGGCCTTGCGCAGAAGACGGAAGGGGACTGCCGCCTCCGCGGGCGCCCGCAGGGGACGACCAGTCACATCTGTGGATGACACTCAGCCGACCCGAGTTGCCCTGCCCTGGAGACGCAAAAACCAGCAGGCTGTAAGCTCTGTGCGTACAAGCCTGTAGCTGAAGGACATTTCTTAAATGCAGGCAAAACACACTCCCCGGCCGCAACAAGGGGAGGAGGGCGAGTTTAATCATCTTTCTAACGTACGCTTTGGGCCAAAAACATAACATCTCCGCCTTGTGCAGATTTATCATAGCTAGAGCAAACTTTGTGCTTATCGGACTTGAGAGGAAGGCACAGGTTTCAAGCATACTCCCCGAGCACTTAGAAATCAGAATCCGCCAGAGCTAAGACTTGCTTGGCAGAACAACAGGTTTGGTTACCGGTTGCCACTGAAAAGAGAAAATCAACCCTCCTTCCTTTCTTCCCTGAAGGAGAGAGAGGGAGAAACAGTTTAATTGCATTTAGAGGTCAGAATTCAATTCCTTTGAAAATATGCAGCCCTGGAATTATCTAGTTGTCTTTTCTTTGATGTACAGTCTGTTCTTAAGTTTAATACAAATTTTCACAATAATTAAAAATTTTATTTCAGGAGCCATGACTGACTCGGGCCCAAGTAGCCACAGCTGTTCTGAAAATGTGATTAGGCTTCACTTGGTGAGCTTTTTAACAGGGGGCTGTGGCACCTGTAGTTCCGTGTACTGATTGAGTTCAAATTCCTGGCCTTTTTTTTAAGGCCCTTTCAAAATAAATTTCAAGTCACTTCGTTTGTAAATTCTCTGCATCATTTTGTTGTGGAAAGGTTTGTCTGGTAAACATTTGTACCGTATTATTTACGATGAATATCTTGGAGTTCTAGGCACATGGTTCATCTGGAGGTTTCTAGTGGGGAACAAAAGATGACTTGTCTCACTAAACTGTAAAAATATAGACTAGATAACTAATGACTATATATGTATATATAAATGCATGCTATCTAAGAAGGCTCATCTTTAAATTATTTGATTAAGGTGTGGAGCATGTTCCCTTATTCTGTAAACATTACTGTAACATCATCCTATAGTTTGCAGAAACTGATTACACAAGGGATAATGATGACCAAATGTGCATTCTGAGCAACTGAGGATCATCACAAGAATTCTCTAGAAATGAGCCAAGGTCCAATGTGTTTTCCTGTGTTATGAGAAGATGAGAAAAGCTAATTTCAGAGTCATTACCCATACAAATCCATTCACACACTTACCACTTTGGACAAGTGACAGACTGGCAATTGCCAAACAATTGTATACACACTGAATTTTTGGCTGCACACCTACACTGGCCAACAGGCAGAAGTTATTCCACATTAAGCAACCTGTAATTTAAATTCCACTGATCAGTTGCAGATCTGTTTTTGATGTTAGTGTACAAACAATTTATGTGAGGTAAGATGTGTTTATTTCAGGTCCCATACCTTTCTGGAGAGTCATCATTATAAAGATTGGGAATGTGTTAGGCTGAAGAGCAGCCCTTGGAGAAGGTGAAAGAATTTATGGAAGCAAAGCCTAGCACATTGTACAATTCCACAGTCTGTTATTTCCTCCAGTGGGTTTGCATGGCAATTCGAATAAACCTTAAGTCTGTTCTCTGTCCTGTGAGACCTTACTGGTTTACACCTGCCTGACCCTTTCAGCCGTTGTTGTTGGGGGTTTTTTTTTTCCATTTTTTTTTATTCCTCTCATACACCGCACTAAAGTCACACTGGCTTGCTTTCTGTTTTTCCACCTTGCCAAGCTCCTTCCTGACCTTTGCCCCTGCTGTTCTCTCTAGCTGGAGTATTCTCCCACATTTCCCAAAGGTTCCTTCTTAGCAGTCACATCTCAGCTCTAACTTCACTTCTTCAGACTCTAATTATAAAGTAGCTCTTTGTACTCCACCTGAGACACCCTTACACCTTCTTCCATTACTTTTCTTTATGTCCCTTAGCAACATCTGAAATTGTCATTTATGTGCTTGTTTTCCTTCAACTAAAATGTAAGCAACATGGGGGCAAGAGCTATATCCACCGTGTTTGCTTATATAACCTAAACTCATAAAGAAGTCCCAGGCATAAAATAAACTTAGAAATATTGTTTGAAGTAAGGAAGAAATGTGAAAATCATTACACTGTATTGGTGATAACCTTAAAACTACACAAGTTCACTCAGAGTACGGAAGAAAACAGTTCCATATCTGTTCTTTGAAAGATGGGGCAAAAAGTATTGACTTCCTGTACCCAAAGTGTGATCTGGGCAGCCCTATGAGTCCCCAAGACCCTCTTGAGAGGGCCATGAGGTCAAAACTATTTTTATTATAAAATTAAGAAATGATTTGTGTTTCTACTCACATGTTTTTCATGAATGTACCATGGTGTTTTCCAGAGATGATGTGACATGTGATATCACAACAGATCGAATGCAGAAGCAGATATAAAAATTCACTTATCTTTTCTAACATTAAATCTTGAAGAGATTTGCCAAAAATCTAAGTCAATGCCACTCTTCTAATTTTTGTTTTGGAAAATATAGACTTTTTATTTTAAAATATGTATGTATTCATTTCCTATTGCTGCTATAACAAATCACCACAAATTTAGTGGTTTAAAACAATGCAAATTTATTATCTTTTTAATAATTGGCCAGGGCTATCACTATCTTATAATTCTGGATTTCAAAAGTCCAAAATTGGTTTCAGTAAAATAAAATCAAGCTGTGGCAGGTCTGCTTTCTGGAGAACCTAAGGGAGAATCCATCCGCTCACCTTTTCCAGCTTCCAGAGGCTACTCGAATTCCTTGGCTAGTGGTCCCCTTCCATCTTTGAAGCCTGTAGTAACCAAATGTGTCTTTCTTACACTACATCAACCTGACACTGCCTCCTTCTTTCAACTGTAACTATCCCTGTCATTACGTTTGGCTTATTTAGTTAATTCGGGATAATCTAGCAACCTCAAAATTCTTATTCACATCTGCAACATATTCACAGATTCTAGGAATTAGAATGTGGGCCATTGTTAGGGGCCACCATCCTGCCTACCACAGTATAGTAACAAATGATGGGTTTATAGCTATTATTTTATTTTTCCTAGATTTTATTTATTTATTTATTTATAGAAGAGAATGGAGAGAGAGAGAGAGACAGAAATATCGATGGTTCAGTGGCCACTCACATGCCCCAACTAGAGACCTGGCCCACAACCCAGGCTTGTGCCCTGACTGGAAATTGAACCAGCAACTTTTCACTTCTCAGTCCAATGCTCTATCCACTGAGCTACACCAGCCAGGGCTATTGCTGTTATTTTAAATAAATTAATAACTTAATAGTTATAAATTTTAATAAATTAAGAACTACTTTTCAATTTCAGACTTTAAATTTCCAATACAAACTATTGGAAATTTAAACTATTGCCCACATAAATAAAAGCTCTGTGTAATCTTAAGTAGTATTTAAGAGGTCATGAGACTAAACAGTTTGAGAATCTGAGAATCACAGGCCTACAGAATATCTACTTTCCTTTCTTCCATGTCTCAAATTAGACTAGATAGTACTAAACTGATTATGATGGACCTCTTCTCTTTGCTGTGATTGGTTTTAAAAGGGGCCTTGGCCAATGAAGGATAAGGGGACGTCATTGGATGAGGGCTATTGGGTAAGATTACTTTCCTCATTAAAACAATGAAAAAAAACTGACAAATGAATTGTCCCTTTTCTGCTCTGAATGCTACTATGTGAGAATGTGGAACCTGAAACAGCTAAATCTGCCTCAGGACCACAAGGGAGCCTATATACACCTGGGATAACAAAGTAGGAAGATGGTAAGCACCTGAGCTCTTGATGCTGTTATTAACTTAGTTAACTAACCCCAGATGGCTTGGGACTGCTTGTTATGGGTTGTAATTAATTCCCTTATCACTTAGGCCATTTTAAGGTTGTCTTTCTATTACTT